GCTGATCATTGGCCTCGTACCATTCCGCTGCGCTATCTTGTACCATGTGAGGGAGGTCGGTCCTTGTTCTGGTTTGCACCATTACGGTATTCAACAGTTTGGTATCTCCTCCTCCTCTCAGATGTGTGAAGTATGATGGGATGTCGTGTCAGTCCCGGTCAGGTCGGGACTTATATCCAAGTCTTCCACTACGCAACACAGTGCCATTTTGTATGTATGAAGATGTACACTGCTTGTTGAGATTCCACTAACACTGCATTGTCCATTCAGTACTTTTCACCGCCTTGCAGATTCTTGGCTGTACATACATTGCCCAACTGGGCATGTATCACGCACACACACACACACACACACACACACACAGGGTTCTAATTTTTTTCAGATTTTTTTGATTTTTTTCCGGATTTTTTATTTTGCTTTTTCCTTTACTTTTTTCCTAGGACCTTCGCTGCTCCTTGCGCGCCCGGGCCGTCCGGGGAAATAGGGTGACCCGGACGGCCCGGCTGGTAGCCTAGCTTATTCATTTCCGGGAAAAACAAGTATTCCCGCATCCCTTCAAAACCTCGCTTAAGTCCTTTTGAGTGCGGTATTGAGCGGAGCTCAAAACTTTGAGCTCCCACCTCATGCTACATCAGTGTGCACTAACACTGCCAACCTACGTACTGTTTTTCATCCGTCCGGATTTTTTACTCGTACATGTTGAACCGCTCTTCGGGTTTTGCACGTCTTCATGAAATGAAAACAGGTGTGCATCTTCAAGGTACGTACTCTTTACTGCTCACATGCAGGGCTCTTCTTGATCTTTTTTTTTTTGGTGAGGACCCAGGGGGAGTCACCTCAGGATGGGACCATTGTACCATGACCGATGCTAATGCTCTCAGATCGCAAATCGCAAAGTCCTGATCTGCACCAACCCTCACCGGACCGGATTAATCAGAATGTCTTCGTGCAGACACTACCCTAACTCTCATGCTAAACAACCAGCATATGTCCTCCGCCTTGCAGCAAAATAACTTGTCGCCAAAAAGAAGTAAAAGGCGGGATCAGGGGAAGGGTCGGGGCGTGATTGCAGTTGAATACACTTTTTGGAGTGCTCCGTGCAAGTCTGCCCTCAGCGAGTACTTTCGCAGAACGAAGAACACAGGGACCACGACTGTCAGACAAGCTTTGACCATGAAAGTGGTTGGATGCATTTCAACGGCGCTAAAAGGAGAAAAAAAGCAAAAGGAGAAAGAAAGAGAAAACAGCAACGTTTCCCTCTCCCCGTAATACTGGTCAGATGCATTCTAAAATGTGATCTTGAGCATACCCTCCACGGCGTCCTTCCACGACACCATTGATCTCTGGCATGTTTATTATTTCTTTTTTTTTCTTTTTTTTTTTTCTTTTTTTTCCCTTCAGGTAGACCTCTGGCTCCAGTGCCGCTTCCGAAATTCCCACTGTAGGTACCCTCACGCAGAAGGCTCCGAAAATATCGGCGCGCAGTGGGCAGTTAGCTTCAGGATTTTAGGTGCGGGTGTACTGCTGTGGCTTAAGCCACCAGTCCACCCGACGTTAGAAAACTGGGTGGAACGAGAGCACACGGTAATGAGGGCTACCAGTAGGATTGTGTACCGGCTTAGTGGCAAAAATGGAAATTGCATAGAATCACTGCCGCAATTTATTTCGCCGTCAAAACAATTTTTTTCTTTTTTTGATATTTTTCCTCAAAAGATCACGACCAAATCTGTTAGGACGCCAATTTTCAGAAGTTGTTCTGCCTTCGGTCTGAGCAGAAAGAGTCCCTGAAGTTAGGGCACATTTCCGTTGGCCAATGGGGGCGGGGGAGGCAAATATGGAAAATGCACCGATTCCACACAGCAATTATTTCACTATCTAAACACTGGTCTTTTTTTTTTTTTTTCTTTTTTTTTTTTGCTGAAAAGATCTACCTAATTTACCGAACGGTCCGAATCCCAAATTTTCAGATTTCTTTGTGCATTATGCAGACCGTGAAAAATCCCCGAAGTTAGTACTCAAATGTGCTGCTGGACCCGCTGGTTGCCTGTTGGTCGGCGCCTCCCTGCCAAATGTGCCCCGTACTCGCCGGAAAGCTCATTTTGGGCCGGCAGGGGTACTCGTGGTTTAAGAACAACGCGGGCACAGTCATCCCCCATCAGTGCCTCATCCCGCAGACTCTATGAGCAGCTAACTGCCCTTCCACTAAGATGCAATATCCCACCCTGCCCTATCCTAAGCATGATGCATTCCTACCATAGTTGCGGGGCACCTCGGTGTGCGGATTTGCGCACGAATTGCGCACCACACGCAGCGCATCGCACAGCGCACCAAAGCGCAGCGCACTTGAAAAATTAGGTCAAAAAAAAAAAAAAATCCGCAGGCCCTCCCCCCAAAAGTTTCAGAATAGAGGCACAAAATTGGGATCATTTCAACTTTTGTTTTAGGCGGGGTATGAAAGCTGTCCTTCCCGCTGCCTTCTGCAAATCCCACACAGTAGTGGGGTAAGTTCGCAAGAAGGGGTAGTCGCCTACTAACGACCTCCCCCGCGAAATTTCGCAGAATTCACAAATTACATGTTCCATTGCCAGCAGACCACCAATATATGCTGAAGATTGGCGTTCAGGTCCCCATGTCGGCAGTGATGGGTCAGGATGAAGATGCCCGTTGCTCTCTCGTTTTTTTGTTTTTGTTTTCTTACAAATAAGTGGGGATGCACAAAAGACATAGCATATGGCGGTGTATGGTTCCATGTTTTCGCAGAAGATTCATTCTACTAATATTATATACATTTGGTGAGTGGTGGAGGAGGCCCTGAGAATCACACGAACAGGGTCGACCTGAATTGGTGACCCATAACTGCCGAGCTACAGCCCTGTACTCGAATCCACAGCATATATTGGTGGTCTGCCCACATCTCTCCCATACGTGACGAGGTCATCCTTCTCATTGAAGCTGGCCCTCAATGGCTCCACATTATTGTAGGAGCCATTCGACGTACCTTCAGGTGGCCTGAATTGACGTGAAGGGGACCTTTTGTTCTCTCTCTCTCTCTCTCTCTCTCTCTCTCTCGGAGCCTTTTTTTTTATCACGGACAGGACGCAACTCCCTCAGCACAGTTCGCGTGCTGTCGTTCCAGCGCACAGCGCAGTTTCGACAGTAACTTACAGAGGGTCCAAATGACCACACACAGGTATTGACAGTTTCGACAGTTCTGGCACTTGTATGGTTATCGACAGTCCGGCCAGTTTTTCGGTCATCAACGGTCTAGGCAGTAAACCCTCCCCCTCTAGTCTACCCTAACCATGGCACCCCCACGGACAACAGTTCTGGCACTTTTGTGGTTATCGACAGTCTGGCCAGTTTTTCGGTTATTGACAGTCTAGGGAGTAAACCCTCCCCCTTCAATCTACCCTAACCATGACACCCCCACGGACTAGTACATACCGGCGAGACTGACCGGTAGGACGGTCCAAGCGGCCACACACAGGTAATTACGGTGTTGACAGCTTTGGCAGTTTTGTGGTTATCGAAAGTCTGGCCAGTTTTCCGGCTATCGACAGTCTAGGCAGTAAAACCTCCCCTTTTAATCTATATGCCCTAACCTATCCTCACCGCCGCCCTACCCCTTCCCCCCTCACCGATGGGGGAGCCAAGATAAGATCTTGATCCTCAGACCCCCTAAGACCAAGCACTCGAGCAGCCCTCCCTATTGGCCCCTATCCAGCATACTACGGCCATTGACCTACACCCCTTGGCAGCGCGCAGGCAGTTTCTATATAAATCTTAACCATGCATCGTCCCAAGGGGGGTTGTTTCATTCCCCCCCCCCCTTACGCCAGCCTTCTTCAGATATCCTCCTTCAATTCATCTACCCCACATAACTAAGATTTAGTTCTAATTCCGTTCATCTGATTACATTTGGATTTCTACTTGGGCCAATACGTATGGCACTCGCTCGTTCTTTTCTTTGAGACCCTGAACCGGATCCCAATCAAATCAAAGATGAACCGGATCCCAATCAAATCAAAGATGCCCTGGTCTTGTCAACATCTTCCAGAGCATTGCACACCGCATGTTAGCCTTCGGTGAGTGGTGCAACAACAGCCTAACCAAATCAGTCACCAGCCACATCAGGACAGATTGACTACGGAGTGCTGGTGTGTTCGTTTGCACTCCCAACGCGAACATTAATCTCAGACCCTTTCAAGTTACTCACTCATGCCCTGTGCTGGCCTTCGGTGAGTGGTGCAACAACAGCCTAACCAAATAAGTCGCCAGGCACATCAGGACGCATTGACTACGGAGCATTGACTACGGAGCGCTGGTGTGTTCGTTTGCACTCTCAACGCTAGCATTAACCTCAGCACCCTTTCAAGTTAAGCGTCAGGACGAATCGACTACAGAGCTCCCGTGTTCATTTGCACTCCCGACGCACTCCCAACGCTAGGATTAATCTCAGCACCCTTTCAAGTTGCTCATGTCCTGTGCTCCACTTCCTCCACGAGCACAGACTCGAATGCATGTCACGCCTTGACCTAACATAGACAGCTAACCCAAACACTCTATCATTGCCTGTTGGCATCACATATTGATCACCAGGTTGTTGACTTGACTGACTCTTGTGAGCCTCCAGGCACAAAGTGCAGCAATTCGGACATCTCCGCCGAATTGCTGGACACAAAGTCGTGGCCAAAACTGCTTCAAAATGTATCCTAGCTATTACAATGTCTATTACTATGTTTTCATTGGCAGGAATACCTCCATTAGCAGGATTTTGCAGCAAATTTTCTCTCTTTTTTGCTGCTCACTGAACGTCACACACTCCGATCGATCAGTCGATGGGTGTATCATACTTTACGTCTGATCAGGTTCAACCCTGTACCACAACAATGCACATGATATCGCAGTCTCACCAGCCAAGAAAGGAGGGTGGAGGTTGCTTGGCTGTCATTTACAACAGCAGCACAGACGTTTTCAATTCTTTACTCGGCATAACAAACATGCTCTACTTTGCTTGATTAGATGCTGTTAGTTATATTTAAAAAATCCTCCTAGACAAATCCATCACACAATCCAAATACAAAGAAAAACTCTCAAAAATACGATTCCAATATTTCCATGCAAGTCGGGGTGGGGCATGCATCTAGCAGCAATCCAGCCATTTCTTCTCGAAACCCACATAACCGAAATTCGGACCGAATAAACCATCTCACTTATGAAAATACACCACAGTGCAGCCAAGGTCATCATCAACGGCATCATGTGCATTTCATCACCGCAACGGTCACAAATGTAACAAAAGGGGCTGAACAACCCCCGCACATCCTTTCACACCTTTCACAGACAGGGCAGGCAGCCACATGTGCAACATCCACATCAATGGCATGCACCTTTATTCTTTCCTCTGCTGCTCTGCTCCTCCGTCCTCACGAGTGAGGTGGACCCGCCGGGCCTGTCGTCACACAGAAGCACTACCATAGCAACTGGTTCCCAACAGCCGGTCCTTTCGAAGCGCATAATCACAACGTCAGAAGGTCGTTCCTTCAGCCTTCGAGGACCCAGACATGCCCAGGCATGGCATGTGTATTCCCCTTCTTCCTGAGGCAATTGCTAAGGCACCAAAATTTCCATGTGCAGAGGACTAACGCAGTATTATGACAGAGAGGAAACCGAGGTTCATAACGGCCGTAAGCATGTACTTACCTATTGCGGCAGCATCTAATCAGATCGACTCCTCCATAAGCTGGATGCAGCTCATGCAACCGCCAACTTCGCCAAGTACTTGATCGATTTCCGAGTACGCCCGGCACAACATCTACCTCCATGCATACAAAACCAATTGGCAGCAACCTCCCTAACAATTCAGCTGACGAAGAGAGAGAGGCCATGGGGCACTGAAATAGAGGGCAGTCAGTTAGAAATTCGTCCCGGCGTTTCCATAAAAATGAGCCTTCGCCGAACGGAGCTTTGCCCGGGATATTTCATTAACGCAGATCTCCGAAGGCAAACAGGAAACTAAACAGTGTCCCTTCGTCAGAAGCACCTGTGCCCCTGCACACACTTCCGCACGTTTTTCAAAGCCACGGAGAGAATGCACTCGACACCTGCCATGCCCGCAGTCCTTCGTTGACGGCAGATCACAGCAATTGAGACCAGGGATTAGTCTGCGCAACCCGTCGTTCTTTTCCCTCGAAGCCCATCCTAGCCCTCGACCACCAATCACAATGCCCCTCTTTTCCTTCCTCGTTGTGTCCATGACGATCCCCAAGCCAAATCCAAACGGGGTCAAATTCGACAACGCGAAACAGCGCTGCTTGCCAATCACTCCCTCTTCTGAAAATGACATTCCAATTCAGGCAAAGTACACCTTGCCAGAAATAATGCCTGAGAGAAACCACACTCTGCTCAGGACATGTGCCATGCCAATCCAAAGCCAGACTTGATTGTTCACCTCACACTCCGATCACTTCTATGTAAATAAAGACCTTGACCTTTCGCTCCCTTTAAAGATTCGGTGCGACCTTTCTCATAATATTCTTGCTCCAATGTTCCGTCCTTCTTCATTACCATCTGAGGTGCCTGGTCATCCTAAAGATATTGTTGTGCCAAAGCAACAAAACAACCTCCCTTCCATTCTCCATACAATAACACTATCTGAACTCGAAATCCGCGCCCAATCTTCTACTACGGGATTCGTTCGTTTTCCGAGGGTCTGCTCAGAACGAAACAATTCCCCTCTCACCACCCTGACCTCTTCTACCGCTCTCCAGAGACAGGATGCTAGCTGCTGCCACCACTTCTCTTCAGTCACCTCTCCGCTCACTACTGTGACTTCCAGGGATCAACAGAACCCCAGGATGCCAATACTGACACCTACTTTCCACCCTATACTCGTTGCATGGTCTGATGGACTTCACTCCCCTCGAAGTAGCCTCCAAGGAACAGGCGTCAGTGGCATGGAGGCCCCACTGTTCAGCTGACGCGCATTACACTGCTACCTCATCAGAACACATCCCATTATCATCAGCTTTCCGCTGTCCATAGTTCTGGCAAAGTCAGTCCACTTCGCAACAACCTTGACTCCCTGTAGGGTTCACGACCACAACCCTCCTCCCCCCGCTCAGTCATCAACATGCCCAGATGTTGGTGCAAACTTCATCACAAAGAAAACTCCAGCAGGACTAGAATCGGCATCCCCCTCCTCTTAACCCCGGCATGTTGGTCAAAATGGCAAATCCACTTCAAATTCGGTTCGCCTGCCCATAGGAGTTCTCTCGATAGACCACCTGGCCAAGTGCAGAAGACTTGGAGCTCTCTCGGATGCGAGAATGTCACATGATAATAATTGCCGAACATCAACGACTGGCCACAACTGGCACTACTGATAAGGCAACTGGCAGCCAACACACGAGGACCACTCCTCCTGACGTTGGGAAACTCCCAAGTCTTCAAGATCCTTTCTCTCTGGACTCCCTCCCCATGTCCAACAGCTGATCCATCTTTGGCCCGGAGACACTACTTCCCTGTCGAGAGTCCTTGTCGCCCAGGAACAAAATCTTTGTGCCCAGCCAACATCTGCCAAAAATGTCAAACAAAGGAGTCAGTGAACACTTTGACGAGACAAATTCATTGCGAATGTGCTTTTTAAAACTGTTTCCATATCATCTATCTACTTTTTTCCATCATGTTTAAGGGATCCTCTGGCTACAATACACGCACCAAAATTCACTCCACATTCCACCTCGTGCAAACTGCCTTCATGAACGGAGAGGAACTGAGGCCATGTCAACACAACAACGGAAGACAAGAGTCCGCAGCCTATGGCCGACCAAGAAGCGATCAATCACAAGTCAGCAGAACACAACTTACAGATACTTTTCTCATTAACCTGCTACATGAGCAATCCAAGTACACAAGGGATAACATAGTTCCCCATCCACCAGCTATGCTTGAATGGTGGGACGAAAAACAAAAATCAAGAAAGGTGGGCCGCCAAAGCCACCATGCACCCCACCCCACATTGGTTTAGCCAAATTAATAAGAATATTGAAGAGCCGCTCTGTCCAGCAGGATATATTCATTCAATGCCCCTCCAGGTGCTCTGGCTTACACATGAAAACCAAGGATCGGCATCAAAGGAAAGAACAGCAGTACCCAGTAGAAGAGAAGTACACAGGCATGCAAGCAATAGGAAAAAACACTGCACAACGTGAAACCAAGATCAAAAGCTAGCATGCGTCTTATAGACACATCCTAGAAATCATCACCGCGAATACAGCTCACATACAGATCGAAACTGAATCTGCTTCGTCTGTCAGTATGCTCCATATCATGATGGTGAGGGAGAAACACTAATCAACCTCGTCTTGGCAAGCAACCTACCTGGCAATCAATCCAAACTTCAAGCACTTGCACCTCTGCTGAATGCCCTTCCCTGAAGGTCATTCGACTCCGTCCACACCGAGACGGAGAGATGCCCCCTTGACCTGAATCGCATCCTCACATGCAGTACCTCCTCTCGCGGCCAATACTTGCTCCCTCCACCGCTCAGTCTTTGCGTCTCTCTTGCCGAAAATATCTTATGCGCAGCACATATCTTCCTGTGGTCATGCACTCTTGAAGAGGGCTGAAACTACCCACACCACTTTCCTCTTCACATGAAACCCTCTGCTTGGCCGCTGCCTCCGTACTTGCTGTCCTAATGGGTGGTCCATGCCATCCCTATCGATTATCAATATCACGCAAGTCGAGCCCCCGGCGTTGTGGTTTGCTTTCTCAAAGCCAGGTCACGCCATTGCCTGCCAAACAGCAGATCCCTCGGCAGTCCAGCATGTATACACCCACCCTCGTGTATACTGCTATTCATGCCCTTCTGCATTACAAGCCTTTGCAACCTTGCCCCTTGCCCAAATGCAGCTGAGAACCGTCAATACCTTATTTCGAATCCTCTGACGCAACCAGCACGCGCTGCCGAGTGTCTGGTATAAGAATAAACAGACACACTGCACAACAGACACTCTGCACTTGTCGCTGTGCTAAGACGCGGCAGCAGGGAAAAGCTGCCTTCACTCCGAATGAGTATCTGTCAAATTCCAAAGTCCCTACCCCATAACGCCTCTTTCAGGGCCGTCGACGTCCAACACACCCTTCACACCTGAAGTCTCCAGCGTCGAAACAACTCCAGATAAACAAGGACCTTTTTCCTTTTTCCATCTCCAAATCTACACCTACTACATTTCATGGTATTTTGCATGCCGTCCCAAGCAATTGTACTACATAATGACCATACCCTCCAGCCAATTCACCTGTAGGGCAAGCACATGATTATCCCCATGCTAATTCCTCCAACGAACACCTTGCACCTCCCAGCCAACTGCATCGCACCGGGAATCAACATCATGTAAAGAGGATGGACAGTGAGGAAAGTGTGCAAGGACAACCACAGAAGAATATGGCACTCCTTGCGTAACCCCGGGACATTTCCATGCATTCAAGAAGGAAAAAAGTAGAAAAACAAGGGCACAAAAACGACGAAACTGCTACCCTGACAGCAACCACAACCAGGGCAAACGAGAATATCCAAGGTGTGGTAAAGAAAAAGGCATTCCTCCATTTACATGTACACATCTAATAACTCCTGAGACCATCATGATCGCCTGCCCACAAAATGTGTGCACCCTTTCCCTCAACACTCTCTCCTGCAGCGCAGACGGCTTCCAAGCTGATCGCATTCTTTCACAAGACCATACTGCCTGGCGCCGACTCTCTCCTCTCTCTCCTAGATGGTGGAAATAAAAGACACAAGCAATCATTTGAATCAGATCCATGCCCACCTGTTCAGCGCCAAGCCTTCCACGCGTATGCCACAGCAGACCAAAACATCTTCACTGTCATGTCATTCCTGATACTCAACAATTGCTTGCTTACATCTTATCCAGTCATCTAGCAGGGTCAACAGATGCACAAGACAAGTGTCGTTGCTTTCCCAGATGTGGACCCCAACAAAGTCCACTCACATCACTGGTCCTCGTGCATTGCTCACAGAAAACTATCCCTTGCACACATCCATCCCATCAGGCTACAATAGCCCATCTTCCTCGCCTAACAGTGTTTTCGGCTGCTATCGAATATGTGCCCTTCCGAGTGTCCATACGCTAGAATCCTTGACAGAGCCCTGCCAAACAGGAAAAAACAGGAGAAAACAAGATCAACCAGGTAAGATAGCCATATTCTCCATGAAAGCACATTGCATTTCCACACCATCCTCGCAATCAGTCCATCCTCCCATTCTGAAGTCAAATGGAACGGGCACAACACAAGGCCTCAGGACAACAGACAGGGCCTTTCAAGACAACCAAAACTTGCTGGAACGGGCACAACACAAGGCCTCAGGACAACAGATGGGGCATTTCAAGACAACCAAACTTCCTGCTAGAAACACAGCTCCGCTTTCAAAATGGAAAAGCTCAGATCAAAACAACCAAAGGAAGAGAAGACCTCCAGACTTACCGCAAATGCCACCATCGGCCTCAGACACAGCAGAAACTCAGCTACTCTTGAGATAGGGCACACTCAAGTAGCGGTAGTGTAGTCCCGTAGGTACAGGAGTAGTGGAGGGCCGAGCAGAAAGTCAACAAGTTAGTATTTTTTAGAGGCCCAGGAGCGGTACGCTAGGTCTAGGCAGGTACAAGTCCCAAGTAGCCTAAGTCCAGGGCCTGTACGGAGGATATCAGCGTCTGCAATAATGTTTCCCTCCGAAAGGGAGGAGATACAAGTTTGGAGGCCACATGGCCTGGAAGTCACCGCCCAAGAGGCAGGTTGGCCGCTATATCTCCAGCAGTAAAGCTCTCCTCAATTAATGCATGCAAGTTTGGACGTCACCCTGCTGGATCACCTAGACGAGAGCTGGTGTGCAGCGCTGTGGGGGAGACGAACGCCCAGCTCTCCACCTTGGCCATGGTGGAGGAGCTCGGGTGGGCGGAGGAAGAAGGGAGACTAGGAGAGGGAAGGGCTAGGGGTACTTACCTGGCCATGGTGGACGCCATCTTCATCATCTTTGTAGGCGCTGCATCTGGAAGGCCTGCAGCAGAGTCCGGCATGGCCGCCTGAGAGAAAGAGGCCATAGGCGCTGCATTGTCTTTTGCACGTCAGGGCAAGGCCCTTCGTAGTCCGCGATAACCTAAGCCTGGATGAAGAAGAAAGAGGAGGGCAGCCATGGCTATGGTAGCCCTCTTGTTGTGCTGGCAGTAGAAGAGGGATTCAGACATTGATTCTGGTTCAGCCATTCATCATTATTATATTATTTCTTGTTTGAACGAGAGAGGAGGAGATGAGGAGGAAGAGTTGGTTGGTGGAGAAGGGGGAATTACAAAATTGCCCAGGATCGGGTCACCACCATCTCTATCACTCCATGGCTAGACATCCCCCATTTGCTATCTAGCATCTGGAGTCCCCACCAACAATCCTGAAGTCCACAAGATCTTCAGGCGACACCAAGTGCAATACTGCTTAAAGCACCCAGAAGCCCCCGCTTCTTCGATGCGCTTCAAAAGAGCTGCCCATGGGAATCACACCCACACCAAGCTCTCTCTCTGAGACTCCTCGCAAAGATACTGTTACCAGAACTCCAAGCATACATTCCCACACCAAAAAACTTGGTGGCTACCCGCAGACATTCCTTCAGAATAACAAGTGCTAGAATTAGGCCTGTGTGGGCGGGTGGGTGTTGTCATTTTCACAATACACAAAAGCACTAATGTTCCAGACTGCTTCGTCAGACTTTCACCAACTCATCAGGAGGTCCGTGTGTGTTTTAATTTTTAACAACAACAGCCCCTGTTCCACCCAGGTGAGTAGATCAAGAAGCAAAGCAGATTTACGTCTATTGCAGAAGATGAAACACACTTGAGATGAGCCAATCCAACAAAGGAACAGTTTTACCTCTATACCAAGCAACAGGGAGCACAATAGATCCATGATTTCCCTTTCTAACCTATCTCTACTTTGCCTTTATTTGGGGGTACCCCTTTTCTTTGTTCTTGCAGCTCCCCTTTTTACTGTGCCTCTCGCATACTAGGGTGACCCGTGGCTATGTTGATTGCGGTTAAGAGCAGCAGCTGCCCATCATCTTTATGTGCCTTGACAACACACTTGCACATTATGAAAGGAGGCAGAGAGAAGGTGGGAGGTATGCTCTGTTCATTTTCCTTTATATCTTCAGTTCATACTTTCTGTTCCTGTAATGACGTGCAACTGCATGCTTTTTTTAGTAGTGCACAAAAGGAGGGAGGAAGGAAAGGTGTAGGGGGTGGACTTCTATGGGAAATGAAGGTTGGGGAAGGAAGACGGGCTAAAAGGGGGGGGAAGTGGAGCGGCAAAGAAAAGAACAGAGGAAAGGCGAACTTGACAGGGTTCTCAATACTTCACCGCTGGAGCAGACTCCTCTTGAATGGCACAAGAGGGCAGTGAGTGTTTGGGTTGCAGGAAATTTTTAATGAGGAAGCTGCGGTTGCCTGCGGTAACTGGCCACCCATACAGACCAGACAGGACCGGTTCGGGTGTGGACTGTTTTGAAATAGCCCATCCAAATTCTCACAGTTGCATAGCTGCATCAAATGGCACACGATGTGATGGTCTATTTTCCACCTCAGGGTGCTGCGCCTGTTGATCGTATGGCAAGGATGAGGGAGATCTGATTGCGGTTGCCGCCAGTGTACGCCCTATGCTGCATGTGAGACATGCTTGCAGTTGACGGGGCAGGTGATGGCATCGGGGGTAGTCCATGTAGAAGAGATACTTGCAATGACAGCTTCCTGGAAACACTGACGACACATGGCATGTCACTGACAAGCTTGCAGGAAAGCAGGCTGAATTTCACAGCTATTTAAGCATGGTATGTCACGGCGTGATGAGCACAAGTCAACAGGCCACACTTTTCGGTGGTTTTCCCAGCAGAGCCTGGCAGTGACCATCCCTTCATAGTGTTCAGAGCAGAGATTTTGTTGCATGCATGCCGCAGCTGTGCGGAGACACAATGGCATCATAACACAGCCACCATCCTCCGGAGAGGCCCGTTTATGATCCATGGTAGCATCTGTCCGATCTACACAAGGAAGGGATGCTGCCTGGCCATGTACAGGGGAGGGGGGAAGGTTCAGCTGGTTTTTTCCTCCTGAGGCTGTAGAGCTTGTGAGTGCACATCTACATACTGCTCCTGATTGAACAGCCAGACCGAGTGGGATTCTGACATTCGGTGATAGAAAAAGATTATTTCCCACCATGTGCACCCTACCACCATTGTCCCATAGGGTCCATGAGTTATCGAACAAAGGTCACAGCACTGAAATGAGCTGAACGCGCTGTCACCTTCACTACACACAGCAGCACGGACAAAGGAATGGTTGCATCGGACGATTTCATCAGGCTTCCATCAACGCATGTGGAGGTTAAACCCCAGCCGTCTGCACAGGATGCATTTGACTGATGGTTAAAGATGCACCACATCATTCCTGAGAAAACTGAACAAACTTCACAAACAACCACCCTACAACCCTACCAGACTTTCAGTTTAAACCCCTGACCAGAACGTCAGTAAGTCCACAAAACTAGTATGTCGCATCCATAGAACCCAACCCGTCATTGACCGACATTCCCTCAGCAACAAGACAGCTTGGTTGCCCACATCCTAGCAGTGGGACCACAGGCCGTATTGTCGAAGCCGAAGACCAACAGGGGCAGCGAGAGAGAGTTGACAAACAGAACAGACCGGCAATTACCAGTACGGCCACTTCCATTCTTGTCATTTGCTTCATCTAATCTCTCAAGTGAATGCTACAGGAAAGAAACAGGCATGTGGACCATCAGCAGCATCCACGTTGTATTCATCAGCGATAACTTTCTCCCTATGAATGGAAACATGGTTTTAAAAAAAAACAAAAAAAAACAAACGGTTATAGGTCAATCACAGTACAAGACCTTTCCCCCTTCCACGAAAACACAAAGGCAATGTCCTCTCCTCCTAGCACTTCCGGCATAGCAGTATCCTTTCTACCAATCACGAACAACAAGGCAAAAGCTGTGCTTCTTCATTGAATGCGACATCATCGCCGTTACCCATACTGCAAACGCATGACGAAAAGGTCGTGCACTCAAAGACGAATCCACAAATTCAAGGACGAGTCAAAAATGTGTAAGGGAAGGGAAGGAAAGGGGAAACGTGCAGGGATGTCAAGGAAATGCACTCTTACCTGCGACTTCGGCCCCGGAAAGACGTTCCAGAATCTAAGTGTCTCATCACCAGCACCTGTTACTATAGTCTGCACACATATTATACCACACGTCAGAAAATATTGTTAGTGTGTGTAACCAGTCGACATGTACAGAACTGCTTTCCATTTTTAGCATTACCCCATGACACAGCTCCACAACATAGGTGAGAGGTCGTTCATCTTGGGGAACGGAAATAGCACTTTGACGAAATGTTGCACAACAGATTCATAGCCAGCCAATACATGATGTCAATCTTCCAAAAAACAGCTTTGATTGATCTACACATATGACTAGGGGGAACCGAGCTCTTTCACATGGAATCCAATCAAGATGATTGAGGAGATGGAACCGAGCTCTTTCACATTGGAATCCAATCAAGATGATTGAGAAGATGAAAGAACAAATGAGTGAAAGTAGTTGAACTAGCGAAACGAAACAAATCAATGGCACAAGTCCAGTCATCACAGCATGGACGTAGAGAAGCATGTACAAGTAGATGCGAGATGGTAATCAATGCACATTTTTTATAATCAAATAAATGAACCTGAGAAAGCAATGCATTATTGCTCTGCCGCATACCAGAGACAGCACCATCTTGCAGCTAATCATGTGCCGAGCTGCCATTTCGCGTGCACATTCTATCCCATTGTCTTCCATCCATCCTTCACTCGGTCATTTGTTAATTTTCGTTCACTCACTCTCTCATTTAATCATTAACTCATTTCCAAGAACAGTCCAATTAGATAACCATGCATGGAACAGTCAAACACAAGTCTCGCATCACATCACACAGACATGAGATACACAGGAGTACAAAGTCCAGAAATAGTCTCAGTATCCAACAACAAACTTAGTTGTCTTCTTCGCCACATCCAGCTATGGCCACCCAACTCAATATGCAGGTGTCTCTCCCTCTTCTTCCTCTGTCATTTGTCTCTCTTTGTCTCACTGTTCACACTCTCAGTCCTCTCTCTCTCTCTCTCTCCCCCCCCCCCTCCTAGCGCACTACAGCTATGCCTATGGCGCCGCCCAGTGTCGTTGACTGCACTGCCCAGCGCTCACTCAGTCGCCTCTCCACCACACAAGACCACAGCAGCACTTCCGCATTGAGTGCAAAGCATATGCGGTGAAGTCCTGCTGGACTTTTGTACTTCCTGATCCACCTTCCAGTCTCCTGGTTATGGGTTGGTTCCCTTCCCTTTGTTTGCTGCCTGCGGAAGCTTACAGATTCTCCTTCGATCTGACTGACTGACACTTGGCCCAATGCCTTTTTTTTATCTTGGCTGAAGGTTGCGGTGCCTTACTGGAAATATATTCTTCAACCTATAACTGTTATCTAGTAGGGACTTCCTACCACAATCTACTTAACTAAACTGCCTACGCATCTGTAATCATGGTACAAACATAAACTGGTCTTCTGGAGCATTCGTGGATATTGCACAGGTGGCTAGAACCAGTAAAGGAAAACCGAATGGGACTCTGCACAGGTGGCTAGAACCAGTAAAGGAAAACCGCATGGGACTCACGACTGGGAGTCAGGACTGGGAGTTGGGGTCTGAGACTCGAGATTGGCACCTGTGACTGGGACTCAAGGTTACCACCTGGGACTGGAACTCGAGGCTGAACCAAGGGTATTGTCACATACACAGGGTACACATCCCGACGTGTAGCACAGATCCAAGGAACCGACCCCAGCAATAGGAAATAAAACGCAGCGGAAGACTGGAACGTACACTCTGACACAGCAAGATTGGAATGGACAGTACTCACTTATTCATTTAACACTCAGTGAGATGGGGGTGGCAGCGCATTATACAAAGAAGGGGCGCTGTTGACAGACCATCCACAGACGAAGTACGGGGAAGATCGAGACGAAGGGGAAGAGTGGGGCGAGAAGGCCAAGTCACCAACATCATCAATCACAAAGTTTCCCGAAGTCCCAATCTCAGGACGTTGTCCAAAGGCGGGTCTTTCCCTGAATACCAGAACAGGGCAATTACCCAAATGTCACCAAGCTCAGATCCCAGATAACTCTCTCGCTCTTGTATCCAGAAGGAAGTCAAATACTTGGATGATGAAGGAGGTCCGGAGGAGAGAAGAAGAAGAAGAGCTCTCTCTCTCTCTCTCTCTCTCTCTCTCTCTCTCTCTCTCTCTCTCTCTCTCTCTGTGTGTGTGTGTGTGTGTGCTGATACCAGATACTGACCATGCAAATGTGTTCTCTTGACGCCGGTATTGGAGTGCTGAAGACGAGGCTGGAGCTATGGCGCCCCTAGGTGAGTCATCAGGTAATTCCCAGTGTCTGGCCTCCGACTCTCTCCCGCTGCAGTCTCCGCTGCAGCCTCCATGACCACCTCTGGCCTACCGCTACTGCGCCCAGCGCTGAAGACTAACACAGCATAACGTTGAATAGTAGCTCACACTAACCTGCCTAGTGAGAGGCAGACCAGTCTCTAATTACTACTGGTCTGGCCGCTCCTGGGTCCTACTGACAGAAAAGTGAGGCCCAGAATGAATGGCCTGGAAATCAATCAGGCCGAACACTTCGATCCAATCTGATGGTCCAAATGTGGCCTGGGAGAAAAAGGAGGCCAGGGCCTGAACCCTTACCGGTACCAGGGACTGGCCCGGCCAAACCTCATGTGGGCCTAAAACGGGCCTCTTTCTGGCCTGAACGGACACAGGCCCTACTTCTGGCGCCAAAACTTAATGTGCCAGACCGAAGCTAAGTCCCTACCCCTTCCTACCTACCTGATGGGTCCTACTGGGCCCATGTAGGACCTTCATATGCCACAGGTATTGAGATTCGCGACTCCTTTTAACAATCATTGAACATGGCAATGGCAATAGCAACAGCATCAGCAAGCCAATCAACACTTGAGCAAACGATGGGACAACAGACCGCTGGACCTGCAAGAAAGGTGAGAAGTTTCCTTTGGATACATTTCAAGCTCATCATTATGGAAGAAGGTTCAAAGACATTCACCAACTAAAAAAATGAATCATCCATGATCCCAATGATAGTCCGGCAAAGCCCACAATATTTCTGCTTTTAGGTATATCCAGCTGCGGTAGAAGATGGAATGCCAGCAGAACAGCTTCTAACCATTGACCGAGTCCAGAGGGCTGAAACTTTCACAGGCTGGAAGACACCTCAGACACCTCCATTTCAAAGTCAAATGTTGAGGCACATGTTTGGAGAAGGATCCAGCTTAAAATGAATACCTCCATCCACTCATCCACTGCTGGTCATTTATGTTCAATAACGACGATACAAGAAACTCCAGGCAACCAGATAGAGCCTTCAAAAGAAAAAGGCCAGAAAAATGCGCTCAATGCTCATACAATTCCATACAAATATAGACCATAGGTGTGGGTGTGTGCAAGGGGAAGGAACCATGAACCGTAATTCGGGTATGCATCTTCAGACACTGCCATAAATCTGCAGTCTCATGAAGTTTCGTGGGAAAACTGCCATGCCTACAAAGTCTATTGCCATACCTGTCCGTCAGGCGAAATAGCCAGGTACAACACTCTTAACGTGTGCCCTGTCAGAGTAGCAAGCTGGGAACACAACAGAGAAGAGTGATGACCACATACAAACACCAAACTCCACTGATGTCAGCACCAATCAGCTGAAATCAAACAAAGAGACATGACAGCACATAAAACAAGTTCAAAACAACACTTACTTGATTCCTCTCTCTCTCTCTCTCTCTCTCTCTCTCTCTCACACACACACACACACACACACGCACACACACACACACACACATACAAACACGCGCATATATACAAACCCTCAAAACATCATAAAAATGCCCACTCCATACAAACCCTCAAAACATCATAAAAATGATTACTCCATGACCACGATAAGGAAAACACTTCTGTCGAACTTAATTTAGAGACGGCCATGGTTACCAGGCCGAACGTTCAGGGGGCACAGGGCTGACCACCGAACTTTCGGGCGTTCGGGCCACGGCTTATTTCGGGGCCTAAAAATTATTGCTTTTGTTGAATTGTTTTTTGTGAGTTCTGTATCATCTGCTACATGCATATACATTTAAAGCATTTCGTCAGGCCAAAAAAAAATGAAAAATAGCCAAAGATGGTGGTGTCAAAACGTGCTCGGCCACTCAGTTCTTTTCTTTTCTTTTTTTTTTCCCAAAACAACTCAGCCCCTTCTATTCTGGGGGGCATCAGTCCAGTTGCTTATCACCGGCAAGCATGACTTCCAAAGTACAAATTATTTGTAGGAAAAGAGGAAAGCCCTAGACGCCTAACAAGGGGGGGATTGCTACAACCGATCCCTCTCCCCATACCATAGCCTCCCCTGGGATACTTCTGTTGGTCTGGAGGCTTCCTAGCAGCACCCAGCCACACAACAGATGGGTCCCCAGGGAAGGCCTGGCCCGGGGGGGCCGTTCTAGCAGTCTCACAGGCCTCACATCCTGTCAGTCACACCCTCTGTTCAACCATCTTTTTTGTACCTACTAACACGCTTTTAGTCTAGATCCTTCCCTATCCCGTCTTCCTATTGAATCCTTAAGTCTCATCTAATTTTTACACCAATCTCCTTTGTCCATCCTACCAGTCACACCCTCTGTTCAATCCTCTTTTTTATTACTACTCTCTTTTAGTCTAGTCACTTCCCTATACCCGGCTGCCTATTGTATGCTTAAGTCTCATCTAATTCTTACTCCTGTCTCCATTGTCTTTGCTATCACCTCTTTCCTCTTGGCCTCCCCCACCTTCTAATCCAGGCATTTCAAACCTCACATTTCACCCTCATTCAACTTTCATTTTGATTTTATCATTTTTATGCTCTTGGCCTGCACCACCTTCTAATCCAGGCTTTTCAAACCTCACATTTCACCCTCATTCAACTTTTATTTTGATTTTATCATTTTTATGTTGGTGTCTCAAATACTTTATATTTTTTGAAACTTTTATTATGAGCTTTATATTATGTGAAATACACATCTGTAAATTTTCAGGGCATTTGGCTATCCCAAGAAAAAATGAAAAATCGTCAAAGATGGCAGCGTTGAAAACGTGCTCGCCCAGTCTTTAATTTTAATTCTCTTTTATTTTCTTTACGTTTTCTTATTATTATTTGTTTTTCGTATTTTATTTTTATTTCACATGTAACACTGAATCAAATGTTGTTCTTTTTATTTTTCTGCATAACATATATTTTTCAGATTTTTTTGATTTTTTATTTTTTTTCTCTCTTTTTTTGTTAGGGGGCCGAACGGCCGAACACATCCCCAAGGGGGTCCGAACGTTCGGCAGGTTCGGGTTCGGGAGTTCGGCACCGGCAACCCTAGAGACAGCAATCTCTTTTGGACTTGATTTAGACAGCAATGCAAAGTTATTTGGTGCACGGATTTCTGCACACATTCTCATATCCCACAACCACGTATAAGATCTGTTGCACATTCTTCATCACAAGAGTTTAGTATAGCACTAAGAATGCAGCAGCACGTACAGGCCTCATTGCTGGCAACATTCTTCCAGTGTTACTTTCTCGCCCTTCAGGAGGGGTATACAGAGCCACATTAAGCACACCCCGGAACCCAAGAAAGAAGAGCTGATCCTGAGGACAACCACCTACCTTCGACATTGCAGGATACCGCCACACAATAATCTGATTTTGCGAATAGCCATGTGTGCTCACAAGTTCGTTCACATTCTTCGACCAAACAAGATTGCACACCTGCAAGAAAAACATCAGACAGCATCACGTGAACAACACTGCTTACCATGTACCTTCGACGGAATCCTTTTTATTCACGCACACACAAGCACCTCCTGCTGAGTCGGTCACAGTCCAACAAAACAATCTGCAACAGTCGGGCTTTTCATGTCGAGTTGTGTATAGTGAACATTAGCAACACACATGAGCACCATCACATTACATGCCCCTACAATGCACCTTCATAACTATAAAGTCCCTTTTATTTACATATTGTCCCACACATTCACTGCCTCCATGGTACGACAACAACATTTGCTTGCTAGCGACTTGGCTTCATGTAAAAGATCCACTGAGTATAAGTCAGTAACATATCCCATCCTGGCAAATAAGTCAGTAACATATCCCATCCTGGCAAAGGACTGCAAAAATGTGATTTAGTAGTCTGGGTAGATTTACATTTGTTGATATCTACTACGAGCACACTTCCGCTGTAACAAGCAGTTTGCATTTTGCATTCCCCTCCAAGAATAGACTAAAGCAGGATCAGAATCAGAAAAATAACCCCAATCCATAGTGGGAGATGAGAGCAGGCAAGAGAACCGCTTTAGAACTCGAACAAGAAAGCAAAATGCCTGAGAAAATGTAGACCTCACAACGCTGCAGATATCATCATGCTCATTGCAGTCATCCAATGCACGAAGTTAAATCCCAAAACCGACGACAAGTTACAGATCTCTGGCGCTCATGTTATTGCCCAGAGACACTGCCCACAATCAAAGAACCAAGCCCCTTTCCCAGGCGAGTGCCAGAACCAACGCCCGGCGCAACAAGCCAGTTCTACATCTCACAGAAATACAAGAAACAAGGCAAAACAAGGAAGTCGAATCCAAGGACAGAAAAATGACAAATACTAACAAGAAAAACAAATGACAGATGCATACCATTACATTGCGTAATGAAGGCATAAGCTGAAAAGGTACAATACACAACGAGCAAAGACAGCCAAGCATAAATTCACTTTGCAGGCCGGATTAGGGATGATTGGCACACAGGACAGTGCATTCCCATTTCCTTTGAAAAAACCCTTCACCCAGGGCAACCAATCATAAACTAGGTTGGAATGTACCTGGCTCCCAGTATCAACACAGCTTATAGCCGTGTTCGTAGCAGTATTCCACAACCGTATACATCGATCTGCTGTACCGCCACCAGATGCAAGCAGACCATGCTGGTGCGGAGACCATGCAATGGCTTTCACAGCAGCAGTATGATCTCCATACTTCAGTACTGGAGTGGTTGATTGTTGATTCCAAACAAAAAGCTGTCATGCACAAAAACATAACAGGTTTTTAGTAAGATGATTTTCCGTACGAATACAGCCACACACACAGCTGTTATGCACAACACAACGGCACATCCTCTGAAACATGATTATGCACAACACAACGGCACATCCTCTGAAACATGATTACATGTACGGGTATAGCCTTCAACCTAGGGTACCGCCATTCATGACATGCCAAACAAGAATAGGCAAACACGAGATACTACAATCGCAAGCAGTACCAGTTGCAATTTCAAGTAAAACCAAAGATCTGGCTTACAGCTGCATTTATAAGTGCGATGTACACATACTGCCAGTGCACGAAGAATTGCGGATTATATGCAGTATCTGTTGTCATTTGCAGGTAGAGAGCATCAAGAGCAAGAATACCTGGTTATCATTGCCTCCAGATGCTAGTTCCCGATCGTCATAAGACCATTTCAATCCGCATACCTGAATATGCACACACACACCAGAATAGTCGGTTACCATCACGGAGAAGATTGCCCTCGTACAACCACAGCACTTCATGGCACATACATTGCACATCCTAGAGACCAAAGCGCATGTCATCCTCTTGCTTCGGATGTACTACATTTCAGGAGCAAGCTCCTCTTGCTACACAAACAGAAGCAGACACCGAAACCATCTTCCAGACCCAGGACTAACCCATAACTGTAATAGAATCTTGTACCAAACCAACTTGCCATCAGACCAAGGCAAATCAATGCTTGGGCAAAATAGGGACTTAAAGGCAGCTTCCCTGCACACCTTTCGCTGAGGTTTCTACTTCAGTCATTGCCTTGAAATGGATCACTTTTAATCCCAACAAGGCACAACGTTTCAGCTTCACTTGAAAACAAACAGAAAAGGGGGAAGAGAGGTCATCCAGACGCCCCACCAGCTACAGTCAAACACTGCACAAAACTTTTCTGACAGGCAGCAAGAGTGAAACATATCAATCCCTGTAAGGGTTAAGCGCAAAGCTTGTCCATCAAAACATCACCGGAACAGAACAAGATCCGACAGATCCAGCCAAAATGTGCCCGCCACAGCAGAGGCCTAATGAAACCAGCTTAGAAACCACCCCCCTGATGCACACAGCCCAGGTCACAGCTGAGAAAATACTCAGAGACAAATGAGCGGATTATGAACAGGCAGCCATGCTGCTGTTCCGGAGAAAGGAACGGACGACAAGCACTCTGCAAGCATTCCGTCCAACAAAGAAGAGAAACAAGTAGAGGTAAAGGAATGGTAACCACCACTGTCATTAAAGAATGTGATGCCAATTTTGACACCGGCAAAGTATTTGCCCGCCCGACAAAGTCACTCCAACCTTTTGGTTTGATACGCTGCCAGTATGGGTCGACAAATACAGGACCAATCACACTAGTGCAATCAGACTCGTTTTCAAACACACTTTTCACACATGTAAACAGTAACGCAGCATACTGGCGACATGCGCCCACTCATCTCACTGTTCACATACACTGGATCACCCTGGATATCCCACACACACCACTCTAACACTCGAACACACACACACACTCACTACTAACTATAGCTATGGCAGCTGTCGCTGCATCTACCCTATCGCTATGCTAACTCCCTCTCTCTAGCCCACTGCGTCCTCCGGGCTCATCTGCAGACCTCCTTGCACAAGTCGCTGTGGCAGCGCTTCCGCATGGCTCACGCAGGAATGAATGAATGGCTGGGCGCTGCCTCTTGATTTATACTTCAGAAACTCGTTGGTCTCCCCTTTGCCATCGGCCCTTGGTGCTTACAGTCCCCCTGTGGTACTTGCTGGACTGGACTGGGACTCTCTAGACCCTTCTGCTGACTGTAGGCAGTCGTACCGTCGATTCAGTGCAGTTGCACTGAGGTCCTACCTGTTGACCTTGCCACTTGTCTTCGTCTGAAAACGTGGGCCTACCTTAGACCTGTCTCTTATACACATCTAGATGTGTATAAGAGACAGACCTTAGACTCACCACTTGCCGACCTTCTAGGACTACAGCTAGGCCTCTGGACTCTACTTGGGCTTCTACCTTACAGGTCTATAGTTCGAATCTCCCTACAGCCTACAACCTACGGCGACCTACTTACCACTGGCTATCGTGCAGATCACGGGTTCAACTCCAGGGAACTGTGCAGATACTGTACACAGGTAAGCTGAGGTCAAGGGATCGACCCCTGGGATCTGCATCGGCTACTGCCAAAGGTGAAAACTGTTTCACTAGTACCTCCGCCAGTGTTGGGAAAATAGGGAAAACGGGCTGTTTTCCCAGACTCCTAAAAGAACGGAGGCTGGGCCCAACGACGGCCACTGTCAATAAATCTCAACCATGGCCGTCGTTTCATTTCGGCCTCCTCCTAAGAGATCGAAGGTCCACCCGAGGCCTCCCTATTTTCCCACTGGCGAAAGGTACAGGACGACAAGCAGTCTCTACACGCATTACCTCCAACAAAGAAGAGAAACAAGTAGAGGTAAAGGAATGGTAACCACCACCGTCATCAAAGAATGCGATGCCAATTTTGACACCGACGAAGTATTTGCCCGCCCTGCAGAGCCACTACAACCTTTTGGTTTGATGCGCTGCAATTCACCTTATGATCACCACACAATTCAAGCCCCCAGCATGGGTCGACAAATACAGGACCAATCACTTTAACCACTAGTACCTCCGCCAGTTTTGGGGAAATGGGTTGCTTTCCCAGACTCCTAACAAAACCAGAGGCTGGGCCCCACGACGGCCGCCGTTGACAAATCTCAGCCGCGGCCGTCATTTCGTTTCGTCCTAGAAGATCGGAGGCCCACCTTACCTCCCTATTTTCCCACTCAGGAAAGGTACTAGTGGTTTAATGTAGCTTCAATTCTGCTAACATCCATGTCCCTTGCAATCATCCAATAACAACATCTCTCAAACACGTTAAAAGATTGCAGAGACTGCACGCACCCATTCATACCTCCGACTTGTGTCCCGTCAATTTACTGACAAAATCCTCCGCCACTCTCACATCTCGTTGCAGAATGTTACGGTCACGACTCCCCGATGAAAGAATGTGTGAGCTCCAAGCCAGTGTTCCCACTCTTGTCCTATGCCCAGCCATCGTACGCACCTTTTTACATCTACCAGCATCCCAAATCTGCAATACCCAATTTACAGGGGTTACAATCACCCACCCAGAAGCGGAACAAGAAAACTCAAGCCAACAGGTAGAATCAAGAGCTTCAACTTGAGCAAGTGTTCAGACATAAGGCTCACAATCAAGAAAACTGAAGGTAACAGGTAGAATCAAGAGCCACAACTGAAGCAAATGTCCACACATAAGGCTCACAATCACATATTGTCCTGCCTGACCACACTGCCTTCAGCAGCTCACCACCTCAACAAACTACGGCATTACACGTGTAAATTGCATACACTGACAGAAAGCTTCACAGGGAAACCTGGGCAGAAAGAGGTGTCCATTGTTTTCTCCCATTGGTAAACCTCTCTCTCTCTCTCTCTCTCTCTCTCTCTCTCGCTCGCTCGCTCGCTCGCTCAGGGGAGTTCATTTTTTCCCCCATTGGTAGATCTCTCTCTCTCTCTCTCTCTCTCTCTCAGCGCACTCTGCAAAACAGATAGTAAAGATTCAAAACAAGACAAACACGAGGGGCACACTGGAACCATTCATTTTTCTCATTCTTTTTTTAACTCCCCCATTCACCATGCCTCTCATGTACAAGTCTCACGACGTTGATGAAGATCAGTGCAAGCTGCCCGCATCCCCGAGTGCCATAACGGCCCACTTGTACGCTGTGAGAAAGAGGCAGAGTAAAGGGATAGGTGACAAACACAGGGAAGATGGATGAAGAGCAGACAAACAAAGAACGAAAAAAGGAAAGGAGGGAATATACATATCGTCAAACAGAGCTGCCCGGTAAACCGTAGGCAGAGAGTAAGACGAGGACAACAAACAAGGGGCTGTGCCAAACTGTTTCATCGGAGTTTCACCAACATATATATATATATATATCGTCACAAACAGAACTGCCCGGTAAACCGTAGGCAGAGAGGGAGAAGAGGACAACAAACGAGGGGCTGTGACAAACTGTTTCGTCGGAGTTTCATATTGTCACACTGTGAATCAGGATATTCATATATCGTCAGAGGTACGTGGTAAACCATAGGAAGTATCCCCTCCCACCCACCCTTCCCTCTCCCTCCCTACACCTCCATCTCTCATCAACTCTCAGGCCGTTCCCAGTAGACAATAGATTAAATTGATTTACATTCTACTAGCCTCTGACCCTCAGGACTGGCCGTTTGCAAGACCCGCTGCCAGACAAAAGTTCCCCATCACCTATTTGCCCCACCATCAACCCCACCACAGCCGACAGCAAGACACCATCAACCCTACCACAGCCTACAGCAAGACATGTCCTAATGCAATAACTCAGAAATTTGTGCAACGCACTATGAGGTTTCGACCACAGCACAAAACATCGCCGAATGATCCGGCCTGGATGACAACGAGGCGCACATTATCCAGAAAGGTACATGGATCGACTCAGGCCCCAAAGACAACAACTATTTTGCCACTCCTCACATGCTGCACCAAACTCGCACGTTCGAAATATCCTGAAACTTTTAATGGGCTGCGTGGCCTGCACCTACGTTTACACAGTTTGGAGTACAGAATAGGCTCCACCAACAAGACAAGCAGCAAGACCCCAAGGTCAGAAATATCATGGCCAGCAGCAGCGAAGAGTTTTTTCCTAAACCAACAGCTAACAAACAAGAAACCATGTTTCCACACGGCTGTCGTGGGTTAGAACGACATCCATCAGGATGTCAGCTTCGACTGTTTTCATGACAGACACGCAACTGCAGCCATCCAACACCGAATTCAACGGCCAGAACAGACACTTTGCCAACTGTTTAAATTCCCTCTTTTTTCTTAATAATGTGTTTTACCTGAACTTCACCAAGATTTGTGCCAACCGCAAGATATGTACCCCTCTGCGTCCATCCAACAGAGCAAACTCCATCATTCGGCCCAAGATCACACAATTTTGTCACCTGCAAACAGCACACACACACCAATCAGTGCCACAAAGGCCCACGACCACCTATCCTCCCCTGGGTTGGTATATATACAAATTTCCTTTTTTGATATTTTATATTTGTTAATCCATTTTTTTAACACCATTCCCATCAACACCCCGCCACAGCAATTTCGTGAAAGCAATCGCGAAGTTCACCGCCGTGAGCAAACTAGCAGCTCCCCATCACCTTTTCCGGTCATCGCTATCTGAATAACCTTTCCAGGCGGCGTCAGTAATACGGGCTCACCTACATGTGCAGGAAATGGCAAGTCGAGAAAAAGCCACTCCACGACCAATCAAACCGCAAGGAGAGACTGTGTAACTCCCAAATCCACTAGCACAACAACACAGTGAGGCAATCAACTCGAACCCAAACCCATTTCGGAACACAAAGTTGATGCAATAGCAATACTAAGACAAGATACACACACAAAAAAAAGAAAACACTTGAATGCCTGACTTCAGCAAACCTAGGCATCGGGAGAACACAACAAGTGACAAGCAACTTTAGACTCTTCCATTCATTCCAATTCTCTCCCAGATGGTAACCTCTCTCCCCCCTCCTGCTCCGAGTCCCTTCGCATACTTCCATGTACTCCAAGCCACTCAGCAGCATACTTGCAATCCATGTACTAAGTTCTACAGCGCCTCCACAGAGTCCTGCCTACCCCACGCGAGAGAGTATGCAATCCGTTTGAGAGAGAGGGATAGGAGGAACTGGTTCAGTGGCGAAAGGAATCAACCTTTATATTCTCTCACCTTACTTGTGCAGGCGCTCCACAGGTAGACACACTTGTCTAATCCAACAGCAAGCACATTGTGGGACGACCAATCAACCAGGTTGAGATAAAAGTCGTCTTGTAAAGCTGGGGCATCCAATACCTGGTTCCATACACAATGTCCGCACAAACGGCAAACAGACAAGCAATGACAGGTACCAATTCATATCAGACATCGCACAGATATGCACACAAACAACAGCATGCAAGCAACAAGAAGTGCACATCCACATCAGACAGCAGCTCACCAGGGGCCACACAGCCTACGAAACGCGAACGTACAGAGTCCAGAGGGGGAAAAAAGGCGGTGTTTCCACATTTGGCATCCAGGGCCGATCAAGCGACAGCAAAGAAGTGGGAACAAATATGAGTGCGTGAAGGGTGGGACAGAGAGAGAAGAGAGAACACCGCGGAAAAGAATGAGCAAAAATGAACATGCAAAAAATACACAAAAGGATGAGAACGACAAGGAAGAGGAGGAGTACTCGGGCCCTGGATTCAATACCGAAGCTGAAGAATCCAACACACATCCTGCTACGGAAAAGCAGGATATTGCTCCTGGAAACATTGCCACGATACCTGAAACGTCATAAAGGAGAACAAGGTCCACTCTGTTCCAAATAACATTTCCTCCCACCGCAAAGGCTTGCGATCAAAACGTATTCTAGGTAATATAAGGAAGTCGAAGCCATGAGATTATGCGCCATGGCATTAAAGGGAAGGACCGAAGATTTCCTCCCACCGCAGGGCTTGCATTTGAAGTCCATTATAGGTAATATACAGGGTAAATCCACGGAAGTCAGAGCCATGAGATTATGTGCCACGGCATTAAAGGGAAGGACTGAATGACAGCCGAAAGTGTGGAAACGCTCCGATGACATCGATATCCAACCCACAGCGTTCCCTTGCTCTTCAGACCCGAAGCAGAAACCCAAACCAAGCCCATACAGTCTCTGGGAACATTCTTCGCCCTTCAGCAATAGTTTGACCGTCTACAAAGCTGCATGTGAGACGAACATCGGTTGGCACCCATATGCTATGGACCCATGGACCCATGAGCAAACCACAAGTGCATGCCTGCGTGCCTTTCAACCCAGCGTGCCAATTGCTCCAAGCGGTGCATGCCTGCCCGCCTGTCTGTCTGCCTTCCAACCCGACGTGGCAATTGCTTCCAGCTTCGGCATTTCGGGCCAGGATTCCAGGTGGCCCAAGCCAATAAGCAATTTCCCACAGCGCTTCTCCGCTAATCCCCTCGACAAGCAAGACATTGTGCACCCTCTGCACCTACATGATGGACCGGCGAATCACCCTTCCCCCTCCCTCCCCACCACAATACACCCACGAGATTTGTGCGGCAGCGGCCTAGCAATACGAGACTGTTTGGCCCCCTCTACTAAAACGACATGACCACGTAGGAGGGGGTACCGAAAATCGACAATCAAAGGCAGACAGGGCAATCCTGTCACATACTGTGTGAATACAAGTAATGCGGACGTGCCATCACCTAACGTCGACAAGGAAACACGCAGATCGTAGCCTGTCTCTTATACACATCTAGATGTGTATAAGAGACAGCGTAGGAGGGGGTACCGAAAATCGACAATCAAAGGCAGACAGGGCAATCCTGTCACATACTGTGTGAATACAAGTAATGCGGACGTGCCATCACCTAACGTCGACAAGGAAACACGCAGATCGTAGCTCAACACAGTCTGGCGTTCGGGAAAACAAGGAGATTCCTTCCAGACTAGAAAAGAACGGAAGAGGAGCAAAGTGGAAGCAGCGGAAAAAARARAAAAAAAAAAAAAAAAAAAAAAACTTGAGAAAACAATAACAAAGACACGAATCAACGAAGAAGAGAGAAAACATGAGAGTCAAACACCGGGACAGAAGACAGGGAGGTGAATGGAAAGGGGAAATAAAAGCTCAAACAAGATAGACGGATGACAAGAGCGAGGAAGAGCGGGAACAGGCGGGCGGTAAACAAGCACCTGAATACAGCCTTAGCGGAGAGAAAGGACCGACAAAAAGAAGCTTAGGGGAGGAGCGGGGGGGGGAGGAGAAACAGGACAAAACAGATAGAGCAGGGCATAAGCAGAGGGGGAACGAAGCAAAAAAGAAACCAAGAGAAAGAAAAGGGCAGAAAGGAAAAGAGTGTGAGGGAGCAGAGAATTGACAAAACCTGGAACAAGCTTTGCCAAAAAGGCAGCAACAAATGCGTAGTGACAGGCGGACGGCAGAAAAGGAGAAGGGATGACCGAGGCCTCTGTCACTAAGGCACAATCGGGCAGAAGGAATCCTATACGGCACGAAGAGGAGAACGGAAAGGAGGAAGACGATCTTATTAGCCGACATGATGAGGAGAAACGAAAGGAGGAGGAAGACAATCACATTAGCCGACATGATATGACAGCAACCATAGTACGTATGTCCGTCATCCTGATGGGTCATGATTCCCCAAGGCAACAGCGTCAGACGTGGTCAAAAACAGATATAGATGCGACGGCATCAGGCCGAAGCTGTCAAGACGAAAGGAAAGGAGGCGGAAGACAATCAGATTAGCCGACATGACGAGGAGAGAGGAAAGCAGGAGGAAGGCAACCATACTACCGTCTTCACCCGAATAGAACGCCCGGTCATTATCGCTGCATCTGGGCTGAAAAATGCCCCAATTCCAGCTAAAATGACCGGGCGTTATATTCGGGCGAAGACGGTAGCCGACATGATATGACAGCAACCATAGTGTGTATGCTTGTCATCCTGGTGTTCATGATTACCCCGGCGACGAACGGCAGACGAGGTCAAAAACAGCCATAAGAGAGGCGGCATCAGGCCGAAGCAGTCAAAACAAAGAGCCGGGCCACCTCAGCGATCAAAACGGCGATGGGTCCCGGTAGCATCATCGAAGACAAGACACGATCGTAATCACGCGACAATGTGCTCAATCCAACGGTGGTCGAGTCAGAGAGTACAACACATCTGCGTTCTTCAGCGCTGGACCGTCACCGCCTCACCGCCTCACCGCCTCCCAAATCCAACGTCGGAGATTACCCACAGCACACCAGCATGTACTAGTCAGCATCTCCATTGTCGCGTCCTCAGCGCCGTCCTTTAGGACAGCACTTGGAAGAGTTGATTACATTAATTATTAGTCAGCATCTCCATTG